GTAGGTAGGTCGTTCGGTAGGTAGGTAGTGGTAGTGATTGGTTTTATTTCTCAAAGATTACAGTTTCGCAGTGCTTGGTGTAAACCCGCACTGAATTGCACTGCTAAAACAATTCGACAAATACATGGGTTACAAATTATTAAAGAAATACATAAATTATTAATAAAATACAATCTACAAATTAACAGATTAAAAGATAACCTCTGAGTAGACATTGTCAGAGGTTAAATACATATCGTGCATACAGATTTCAATAAGCCTATTATTAATACATTATTATTGATGACTTGTCATAAATGTGTATATTCAAACATATTAGTTCGGCATTGCATAGTGCTGGTTGAACTATTTTGGGGGACTAGAAATTTAATATTAGCAATCATTGAAACATTCGAGTCAGGGCCGTTGTAAAAAACATATTATGAGAAAATAATCTCCAATTATTGATGAATTCTCGTATCATGCAATGGTTAAGCCCATACGTCAAAATCTAATACGTTCAAGGTGATAATTCAGGTCAGGTAAAGATCTTTACATAAGAATTAAAATCTAATGAATTTCTTCTCCCAAACTTAACATATGTGCATTACAACATATTTGAATCGAAACTGCAAATACTGGTTGCATTATTGTTGAAGAGTGTTACAAGATAGGGTATGGGACTATCCCTGTAACGATTAGTTCGTGTTTTAATAGTGTCCAATAGGCTGCTGTTTCTTGTTCTTCTACCACTGACGTCTCCCCGGAAGGGGGGTAGCCAATTCCGGTAGGACTCAGACTGTAGTAGTCTTCTTGCGAATGTCTGACAAAGGTGTTCACGTCTTTGCTGTAGTGTCATGAGGCATAGCGTGTTACAAGCGTCAGTATAGGTTGTGTAGTCAGGCCCAAGGATGATTCGAAAGACCTTCGCTGTATTCTTTCCAGTTGACGTCTTTGGGTACTGTGTAATGGCTGGTTGCCAAACTGGGACAGCGTACTCACAAGTGGGTCGGACAAAACTTGTATATATGGTGACAAGATCTTCTCTAGTAACTCCGAAAGATTTGAGTCTTCTCAAGAAGAAAAGCCTCTGGCTTCCTTTCTTGGCCATGTGGTCCACCTGGGTGTTTCATTTTAGGTCAGCTTGTATATGGAGCCCCCAGGAGTTTAGCTACTTGAACTTGTACTAGGGGGTAGTTGTCAACTTTAAGGTCCCATTCGTGAGTTTTTGTTAACTATAGCCGCCTATGGCAAAATACGTAACTTTACATAGGCCAAAACCCAATAATTTGAATGACAGCCATCTAGTCTATCCAATCAATTTTGAGCACAATGGCCGTACATTACGTCAAAAATTCCCAACCAGATCTAACCCAACAATCTCTTTTATTTATTTATAAACTGCACTTGGCCACTCTCCGCCAGAGGTCCTCCAGCGCTGCTACCTCCTGACCGCATTACCCATCACAACAGCGTGTAAACATCCGACCTGTCGCGCGGATGTCAACACTTACCCACTAATTTTAGCACATACAAACAACCTCTCATATCACAAGCGGTTTACGCCAACTGACTTAGCTAAAATGCAATTTCTGGCGGATATAAACACACATCCATACACGCATTTAATTTTAGTACGATCTACTTGTAGAGTACCCACGCGGAAGAATACCGGAATGAGACCTTTAGTGAGGGTAGTGGTGGCACAGTTTTTGAGAAGTGCAGAAACATCACCTTGCATTTGCGAGGGTAGGTAGGTAGGTAGTTCGGTAGGTAGGTGGGCAAGGCGTGGGGAGGGCGCTGTTGACGCCTGCATGACCCTCAAAAGGTTAAAGGTCATGGGGCATAGAGAAGTCATAAAGAAGTGAAATTTTGTTTTGGGTGTAACTATTGTTCTTTTGTTAGTATATTGATGACGAAATTGTTTACAAGGTAAGTGGGGATTAGAAAAGGATGAGAAGGAACCCTGTAAAAGGTAAAGCACACACAAAAAAACATAATTGTAAGTTACACTACAATGACTATGTACAACGCAAAACCTGTCTATATTAGCAACCGCTAATATTACTATCTAGTTTTTAAAAGATGTACAAAATTTATATAAACTTAACTGTATGTTATGGACTTGCAATACATTACTTTATCAGTTGACCTCTAGATCTAAAGTACTATTGTTATGGTCTTGAGCGTCATAATTTTTTGCCAACATACAATATTATGTGCTATGTAGTATAACATAGACAAGGACACATATTTACAAATAACAAGTTTATTTACAAGTATTTACAGGCATGTCATTTACAGAAACACTTCTCAGTCCTTTCCTGGTGCATGGTTGACTCCAATTGAAAGCAAAATAAATGACATCAATAGATTTACACAGTTGCCGCTAGGCACAAGAAAGGAACTACCATTGAGAAACCAATGTGGAAGACCAAATCAAAGAATTACATATTTTTACTCACTGTGTAACGTTTGTTTTTCTAGTGGGTACTAAATTAAATGTAATGTTATAACTATGAAATTTAGTGCCTGACACTTGAAAAGACATTCTATATCGAAAATCAATCAAACAATTTGACCTAGAAAGTACATGTATTGTAAAGGAGTACATCTTGTCTTTTCTGACACACATTTGACTATCAAAATACAAAGTATCAACATAAAGTTGACACAATACTACAATGGGAGTTTCAACAATGACACGTTTCGTTTTCATACACTCGACGGTAAACTGTCCCTACTACTGTACACATCTTTCTTGCACACACTGGAATGTACACCTACAGATAAAAATTAAGGGTAGATTGTAGAAGTATATTTGTTGTGTTTCACCTGCAAAGACAATTTTCATATTGTTTTGTCATAACTAAAAATCAAGTAAGATGTTACATTGTTTTGGTTCTGCCTCTTAGTAAGAAGTTACATGATTTATCGAGCTGACTTGTACAGCAGATGTAAGAATGGTAAAAATGCAAACTGAAGAACATCAAGAGTCTTATTTTATTTCTTTAAAAAGGTTTGAAATGGAAAAAGATGTTTACTGGTTATAAATTGTCCCGTCTCTAGTCCCAGAGTTTGATGAGTCCGTCCCATCCCGCGGTGATGACCTTCGACGTCTCGTGAGGGAGCCAGACACACGAGATGCAGACCCCGTCATGGGCCTTGATCTTACTGTACAGCTTGGTCGACTTCCAGTCCCAAATAAACAGCTTCCCGTCAGCGTCACCGGACACCACATAGCTGTGTACAAACAACAGAAGACAACTTAGACATGTAGAGAGAGAGATACAGTAAATATAGAATACAACACAATGTATTCTGTATCCCCCAAAGTACATTGTACCAGCCTGACTACCGGTAGGATCCCCTGAAGACCAGAGGAAACTCTAACCCACGGAAGAGCTATGTATGTTATTTGTCATACCCACCCCAAAACACACCTTTCAATGCAAAATGTGACAAAATGTGGTAACCCTAAACAGAAGAATGCAACAACATCAATTCAAACATCCGAATCCGGTATGCAAATTTTCTAAAGCGGCGCACACGGCACAGGAGAAACGTGTTCAGATTTTTTGCTAATTGTGAGGTAATTGTACACATGATGGGCAAAAGCTATGATGTGATGATAAAGTTTCAATCTATGTCAGCATTCTCACCTCATGTCTGGTGAGAAGTCCATCTGACAAGCGTACCCTGCCACCATGTGACCCTTGAACTCTTTCTTCCGGTTGAGTCTGAAGCGGTTGTGAGCTCCGTAGATAACAATCTTGTTGTCCATGGACTGGCAGCCCAGCCACTTGCCTGTCAATGAGCACAAGTTTTAGAACATTTTCCTTCACACTTTTTCACAACAAGTGACAACAACAACATTTTTTGTGTTTAAAGTTAAGACTTTTGATCCAACAGAAAAATTCTCTCACCTAGAGCTTTCGACCAGTCACTCTGGTCTTCCTCAGTAGACTGACCCAGTGAAGTTGACGTCACACTTCAAAGAAGCCACGTGACAAGCTTCACTGGGTCAGTCTACTGAGGAAGACCAGAGTGACTGGTCGAAAGCTCTAGGTGAGAGAATTTTTCTGTTGGATCAAAAGTCTTAACTTTAAACATGTAACTACCAACACAGATGAACTTTCATGATAACAACATTTTTCATCATGACCTAACTTACTCCTGTACTACACCCTGACTTACATTGTATGTTTCATAGTTTGCACATTTTGGGCAACCCATACCATATCCTACCACCCAAGGCATACCAGGTCACAACCCTGTCATTCAACTGGAATCCAATCTCCACCCACCCACTCACTTTCAATCCTTTACGGTACGGGAAAGATTCAAACTCCCATAAACTACAACTGCCTAAAACAATACTTCCGTCCCCAGAATCACTGCACTCTTTCTACAGCCATACTCACCATTAGGAGACAGGGTAACAGCAGGCATGGAGTGCATCCCTGGTTCTGCTATGTACTTGAAATCTACCGGGATGTCCCTGAAACGTACACAACCAACAGAAAATTATTCATATGATGACAAGAGGTAGAAACAAGGTAGCAAATAGCACTGCAACAATATGAAATGCAGACATGTACTGTAGTTCTACCGGAGAAGATCCCAATTGGAATCTCTGCCTTGACATATATATATACATGTGTACTGTAATTCCTGATTTTTAAACTGCACTGTATTGTTATGCTCACTGTTTTCACTGTCACTTCTGTTCCATGAACTTATCATTACAGTTAACAAATAATTTCTGGACTTTCTCTTTCCTGCACCTGTCACCACCGTGAATATATAGTTCCTGAACATGTCCATTTTTCTCAGACCGTGAACTTTTGCTACAGTGAACATAAAGTGAATTACAGCCGATTTTAGAGCCCATTTACTAGTAGTCTTACCATTCCCAGACGCGGAGGCTCTTGTCATCAGAAGTGGTGACGAATCTTCGATTCTCGTCCACGAAGGTGATGGTGTTCACCGCGCCCAGATGTCTGTCGTACTCCTGTACAATCTCACCCGACCGCGTGTCCCACTGCACAATCTTCTTGTCCGACATTCCTGCCACAAAAATGTGCTGCTTGTCCTCATCAGGGTTAAACTTCACACAGTACGGTACCTTACGGTTGGTGAACCGCGATATGCACGCTCCTGGAATGGGAAGGATAAAAAATTATATTAGGAAAACAATTAGCCTGACTCTATCAAAGGCGAAATTATTTTTTGGAACAACTTTTTTGAACTGTCTCTCACCTGTCTCTGTGTCCCACAGTTTGATATACCTGTCGTAGGCAGCTGACAGGAACTGGGTCCCGTCATTGTTAAAACACACGTCTCTCACTGCGTGCTTGTGACCTGAAACAAACACATTCAAGTTGTCAGCTTTTAGATGTTGACAGCACATTAACAAGAAACGGCTGTAACTGTTTGATCTTACCAATCAAATGTTAAGAAAAATCAGATTACTTTTGCATTTCAAATAAGACATTACTTTCACAGAAAAGTAATTCTCTATGTCACACTTACCGATATATGTACGGACCATACTTCTTTTGTTGTAGACTTCCCAAATCTGAGGAATTAACAGATACAGGTTAATATATATAAAGCAGCAGACTCTGGTACACCCTGATCTTAGAATAGCCAAAACCACCCTGAAACTTAAGACATTTACAGCGGTGTAGACATAAAACTAAAAGGGAGTTTTACCTTGATCTTACTATCCATGGATGATGACAGCAGGAGGTGCCCAGACTTGGGAAACAGCCTGATCATCTTTTTGGATAAGAAGACCACTTGTGTAAGAAGACCAGATTCTATAGGTCCCCAGGGTGGTCTTCTTATACAAGTTTGACTGTAAAATGAAGTTTTACCTTGATCTTACTGTCCATAGAGGAGGACAGCAGGAGGTGGCCAGACTTGGGGAACAGCCTGATGCAGGACACGCCCTTGCTGTGACCGGACCAGGAGTGGATATGCTTCTTCGGGATGAAACACTTCTCCGGCGGCTCCTCCGAGCGCAGGTTCACCTCCACGTCCTGCGGCGGGTGCAGGTACGAACGACCTTGGTAGTCGTACATGTCCTTCACTGGAATGGTGACAAGAATACAACAAATCAGAAATTTCAAACTTCCCTTGGAAGCAAATACATGTATAGTTTGCGTTAATGATTTTAGTACATCATAGAATGCATTCTTACACATGACTGTATAATGAAACTTATTCTGCTATTACAGCATGGTTTTCAGTTTACACCACATCCTTCAATCCAGGGCATAACAGGTCAAACCCTGTCAATCAAGAGAAACCCAATCTCAGCCCACTCACTTCAGAACCCAAACATGATTGATATCTTAAGGCTAGATCAATTATGTTTGAAAACTATGTTAACCTTACTGCACACATAAGAATTGTGAAGGATTTCATCTGTGCAAAGTATCTCGAAAACTGCTTGTCGCTTCTTACCATGCAGCTGAGTCTTCTCCTCTGCTGACTTCTCTTCTTCCCTCTTTCCCTTCTTCTGCCGCTTAGCAATGATCTCATCCAGCTCCTTCTGTTCTTCCTGTATGTGGTGAAGAAATTTACTGGTAACTATCAATATTCAGATTCAGCTGTAATCAGCCTATAACTGTAAGTGAATTTACACCATGACTAAATGAATTTAGAAGAAAGGGCAAAGCTGATTCAAGTGCTGAAAAGTCAACAATTATCTTCATCTAGACCAACATATGTACAAATGTACATGCTCTATTCATCCACACTTGTTCTTAAATACATATACATTATGCATCTACAGTTTTTTAAAAATCCATTTGTACCTAGATGTTCCTATTTCTAAATGTGTTTATGTGTGTATGTGCTATGGACCGTTGAGTCTGAAACAAACAATAAATAAATAAATATAAATAAAATTATGGCTTAAGTTACATCATGCAATGTATTGTCTCTGAGTCTTACCTCTGAAGGTTTGGCCACCGTCTGTTCGTCCACATACCCTCCCCATGGCCCCTGGAACCCCTCGATGTCCTCAGGCTCAGTGGCTCGTACTCGCTTCCTCTTGTCAGAGGGTCGGGCCTTCTTGGCTTCAAACACTGTCACAGCTGTTTGACACGAAAATCAATTTCAGTGCCATACATAAAACAGAGACTTTCTTCAGAACTCAGACATTTAAAGCACAAAAATAAACAGTACCGGTAAGTACAATGCCCCCAAAGGCATAACCAGCTATACTCTGTACAGAACTGTTTTTCTTTTTAAAAATGGGCTGATACAAGTAAGGTGCAAAGTAGTCTATGAAATGTTAACTTAATTCCTTACCCTTATTGGCCTCTGCTGCCTCCTTGTCCCCTATGACTTGTGCCTGGATGCCAGCTGAGTTGTGTGATGGGTCCATCGCATAGCCTGAACAGGGAACAGAAGTTTACAGAATTATTTCAACAGAACTGCAAACACAGTGAAAACCCTTTCCCCCTACCACAAACTAAAACCACTGTGAAAGTTTCACGACTTTATGTTACTGGTATAGTTGTGAACTGCAAGCAACTTGCTAGCCTGGAATCCATCCCTACGAGCTATTCGCCGGTTCTACTAGTCACCACAGCTGGTATCTGTATCAGTACAGCCTGTATAACCGCCCTTCATTGCTGACGTAACACACCAGCTTCGCAGGCACGCATTGGTGACTAGTAGAACTGTATAGTATAGCTTGTAGGAATGGATTCCAGGCTAGTGACTTACACAATGTTATAGTTATAGTCAATCCCTAAGCAGTTGTAAAAAAGTTTCCATACAAATAGAACCTGCTTCCTCTTACCATAGCTGTGGAAGGTTCTTCTCTGTACTTCGAAGGTGAAGTCATTAACATGAGCCTCCTCCACGAACCCTGACAGGGTGTTCTTATGGGCCGCATCCTGCTGGGTCTTAAAGGGGTTCACTGGACCAATCTGGCAAAAATTCAACCACATAAAATATACATGTAGTAAGTTACAGTGTAGTAAATTCTGACATGATAGGTGAATTTTGATAAGATTTCAGAGTGGTCATTCTGTCAGTTGGACCATAGGTGATGTAGCTTTTGGAGGATTACTAGTACTAGTATACCCAAACGTTCAAATGCCATATGTAGTCTAAAACTGAAAAGAAAGTACAAATGTATCCGCCTCAGTCTAATACAGTTCAAGCTAATACACCACAAACTAACATCACCCCAACAAACTCATAGCCTGAAGTCCAGTCTTGTTAGGCTATATAATAGCTTAAGTCTGCTTCATAGGTCACTATCAGGGGTTTTTCTAGAAAAATTTGGCATGGGGGAGCACAATCATGGCGAGGGAGCGAAGCGACCGAGGGGGGGTTGGTGCGGAAGGGGGGTATCCCCCCTTCCGCCATGTGAAGCCTTTGAAATTTGAAGTTGAAATGGGACATTTTGAGGCTACTTGAGGGGGGAAATATGAACTCTTTCATTGTATGTTTCTTTAAAAACAAACAACTATGATGTACATGTAACCTGGTTGTAAAAAAAATATTTAGACACTCACTCACACAGTCCTCTTACACAGTCCTCTTACAATTAATTGAATATGATAAATATAATGCTCAATACAAATTTCCATTAGTATAATGTATGTGAAAGGCATAGGAGAAGGATAAATAGACTAAAAGAATTCAAGGTTATTTTTCTCAATATTCTTCCCAAATTTCTATTTCTATCTCCCTTGTAAAATATACATTGTAAGTAAATGTACAATCAGCAGTACACACAATCTGCAAATCACCCTTTCTAGTACGCAATTAGTGATTAATGTTACTAGTAGCTCCAGATGACAACACTGGGTTTGCCACAAGCTCAAACCTTTCCCATAATGGCAAAATAGCAACACATTCATCCAAGCTGCTACAAACTCAGGTCTCATGTTTCACTTCAGAGCCTGTTCTATAGTATGCAAATGAAGGAGGCCCAGCTACTTGTCTTTGAGCAAGTTCTCAATGAACATTGTTTATTCCATTCAAACTTTTACTACTAGAGCTGAATTTTCATGTTTATGGTAAGATTTTGGAATTTTTATGAGAGTAACATAGTTTGTAATGCTAGAACACATTGTTATGTGGTGTTGTTTTTGTATTTTTACTGGAAAAAGATAATTTTGAAAAAGACTTAGGCTTCAATCTGAAAATTGATATGAGGGCGCTGGTTTGTTACATGAGGGCGCAGCGCCCCTGTTCCCCTGTTTAGAAAAACCCCTGACTATCACGTTAACAGACTGGGCTCCAGGCTAACACATTCACCCATCTCAGACAGGATTGAGTGTACTGATATAAGAGGTATCATACTCTACCTGTGGTGCAAACAGTTGGTCGTAGGTGGGGTTATAGGCCACCTCCTTAGTCGTACCCAGGTCTACAGGTTTCACCAGGTTTACATCATCCTGAAACAACAAAAAGAACAACTTCTTTTAAATCATAATGCCAAAGTCTTTGTGCTTCCAAAACCTTATCAGTATCAGGGGTCAATACATTCATAAGACTGGAAAACAACAACACTGAGAGAACATATACACGTCGTCATAGTAACTTCACAACTTTATGAGGAACAACTAGCAAAGGTGGTTGTTTTTTTAACTGGGACTGTGTCTGCATGCTTCCATGCCCCCCTCCCCACGCCTGACGACAAACCTTGGTTATGACGTCGGGCGCCGCGTTGATTCTCGCCACGGTTTTCAGGGCCGGTAGTTTCCTCCCGTCTTCGAGGGGTTTCAGATGAGCCACATCGTCGGGTTTTGCCGTCTGCACCGCTTCCGAGTCGCCCTCGTTGTCCGAATTCTCAGAGTCGGATCCGTACGCCTGCAAAGCTGAAATGGCCGCCATCTTACAGTGAACATACGTCACAGTCCTTTCGCCTGATGAATATACGTCCAAATTGTTCACAACAAAACAAACTGTTCCCATCTTAAGCCCAGCATTATTTATCAATAATAGTAGATATAGCTATCCAAAGCTAACGTACGGACGCTAATTCTTGGATATACATGTATTTATGATATATACTTCCGCTCTAAGCTGGAGAAAAAATATGCTGCATAAGGGGTCTTGGAATAGCCAACTCATAGCACAAGGCATATGAGGCATCTGATCTAAATAGCTCAAGATTTTACACAATGCAGTGTGATAAACATGCATCAACACATTTATCTATAATATTCTTCAATATTTTAAAAGTTTTGAACGTAATTCTTGTTCTTCTTTTCCAGTCAAAATTATTTAAGATTCAAGTCTCCCATATTCATCAATAGTATAGTCCAGAGGGCGAGCGCCATCTTGTTTTTGTCACTTCCCGTTCCCCCAAAATCGGGGAAAGAATTTTGCGATCGTGCGAAGAAACGGGGATTAATAGGGAAACGGGCGACACGGGAGACTTCACCTAAAGACAGTCTGTTCCCGTTTCTGTCATTGCAGTTGAAGGTGGGTATCATTTTACGTCGTAGCTTCAACAAAAAGAGAAATAGAAATTTTGTCGGATGGGTGGAGCCAGGGCTCAGGGCCCATAATTTTTGAGTGGGGAGGGGGGCATGCGGAAAAGTGTGATGTTTTAGTCACGAAGGAAGCACTGCCTGGAGACCGACGTCTTGTGTGTTCAAAACTCAGTATCTCTAAAGGGTGTATTGCCTGGCCTGGGTGTTGATTGCCTTGCGTACAATTGGCAAAATCAGCGTATGAACAGAAAGATAAGTTGTGTTGTGCATATCTTTTTCAAGATCTATGATAATCGAATTTCCCATCTGTCAAACGATGTTGTCTGCCTTATATGTAACTTCCGGGTAGAAGGGAGATAGTTCAGTTGATGTTGATGTAGGTTAAAAAAGTGAATGTCAGAAGGTTTGTTTAAAAAAAGGATTGTCTATAATTTAATATTTTTGGGGCTTTGGTTGGTTTCAGGAAGTTGATATTTTTCTCCTTGGGGCAATTTTAGTAGAGAGAAGTTATGAGTGCCCAATAATACTGCCCATGTTCTACCCAAGAGAAGCTAAACTGTAAATCTTGAAACGTTTGCACTATTTTCACAGTTTTTGTGATGACTTTTGAATATGCGTGTCTAATGTATTTCCATTATTTCGTATAGTGCTAATAGTTACTATAGAATACTATAGAATCATTTTCTACCCCAAATTCGAAATATTACAACCAAACCCCTATTTCCCCCTCTACCACGGAAAAAGAAATCTGTATCACTGCAGAAGTGAATAAATTTAAGGTATTTCGGTGCCCTTAGGTTGTAGAGAAAAGTTAGAAATATAGAACAGAAGAAGTTGACCTCATTCTTTTTCCAGACATGACATAGCACGGCCAGGTCAACCTTCCCACAATGCCCCTGATCAAGCGGAATGTGGATCCCGTGCACCTCTGCAGGGGGTCCCTACCTCAGGGCATCAGTAATGAACTAGAGTGTGTCACCAACAACGCACTGTCCGGTGAGACATAATTTTACTTTTACAAGTGTACATGTTTTACTCTATAGAAGTACCTACATGAATTCTGTCATATGCTAATGCTTTGGCAAGACCCAAGGTCTCTGTCATCTTCTTGATGAATCTATTGTAAACTTTTCTGGTAAATCATTTCAAAGCCTTCAAGCGATCAACCTGATTCATGGGTTCCAACAGAACTAATAGCAATCTTAAGTCTTTAGTTTTATCTTGTTTGAACAGCCTTGGAGATAAAGAGTTTTCCTCCTGCTTTAATTTTAGTATCCGAATGCATTTTACTTGCTTTTAATTTCCATTTCAACACTAAGACTTGTCTGGTATTGTTAACTTGGAGGTGCTTTTGCTTGTGTTGTAATCAGAAGAATTCAAACAAAGTGAAGAGCTTTTAATTTCTATTCCAACTATAAGGGCTTTTAATTTCTGTTTTAGCAGAAGAGCTTGCTTTCTTATCAAAGGCTTTTGTTGTAACTTGTTCATTTCCAGGAATCATCCGTCAGCTGAGTAACCTGAGTAAGCATGCGGAGGACATGTTCGGGGAGTTGTTTAAGGAGGCCTCGGCCTTCCAGCATCGCTGTGCGACCTTACAGCAGCGTATCGACAAGCTGAGGGTCAAGGTCACACAACTGGACTCTACAGTAGAAGAAGGTGAATCATCAGAAACTATTGTGGTGGTTTTAATTTTTCAGTGACCTCACTCACCCAGTATCCGGTTTATCATCTGTTGTTCCTCGTGTTCCATGGGTTAGACATGCTTGCAATTGCACACTGGTATAAGGCTTCATGACAACATTTGGGTCTGTCCTCTTACCGTGAAATAATAACACTGCAAATTTGTGTTGTGTTTTATATTTCTACTGTACTACTCCTATCCAACCACAAACTTAGCAACCTTATTTATTTTCCCTCCTAATAATAAACCCACCATGAAGGTAAATGCATTTACAGCATATGCATGTACTTTGGAAATGCAATAAAACCTAATAGGTAAACCTATGTCAACAACAAGGAAGAAAAAAAGAGACATACTACTAGGTAGTGGTAGATTGAAATGGTATTTTACAGTGATCTAGCAGCTTAGGGCTTGATAACAAGTGTCCTTCGTTTCTACAGTGTCTCTACAAGACATCAATATGAGGAAGGCCTTTAAGACCTCCATCGTCCCAGACCAGCAGGTCACGTCACGGCAAACCATGCCGTCCGCCATGCAGGATACGTACAACCAGTGTGACAAGCCTCCTCCACTCAACATACTCACACCTTACAGGTTAGTACATAGTGTAACACATACTCACATCTTACAGGTTAGTACACAGTGGAACACATACTCACACCGTACAGTTTAGTTACTGTAAGTCTCTTTAGATTCGCGGGGCCTAAAGTTCGCGGTTTCGGGAAAATGGACAATCCGCGGTATTTTTCGATTCGCGATTTCTCGTTGGCTATTTTTCAAAGAAAAATTTGTAAAGTGTATATTTAAAATAATAAAAGTTCGTGTTCCGGCATTTATATCCTAAAACGCGGCGCAAAAATTTGTTTCGTGCACCGCGCGAGACTGCCGGTGGTATAGATGACGATCGATCTGACGCACGTGTAAACAATTTTCTTTGTTCGGAAATAAGCGCTAAAACGCTATTTTCCACAACTACACATTGATACTCTAGTGAAGAAATGCATAATCGAAAGAATCTTTCGGGAAAATATATATTACTAAAAATATTTATGCCGTCTTCGGCGAGATTTTGAACCCGGAAGTATGCAAAGGTCG